AATGAGAAGTAGGAAGTGATTAAGGGGCTCTCCTCTACCTCCTAACTCTAATCCTTGCTGGGCTCCCAGGTTCAAGCCCTAGCAGCCTCTTTCCTCTATCAAGCTCTGCATGTGAGCTCTGCTATAGGCATTATATATAGGTATTTTTATGAGCCATTTTTTTCCTTTTCCTTTTTTTTTAAAATTATCTTTGAGTAGTTGTACAAAAGATTTGCCATTTAACAAAGCTGTTTATGAGTACAATATATCTTAATTGCTGTCATCCCTTTCAGCACCTTTTTTCCTTCTAGTATAAGCTTTAGGAAAAAGAAATAGAACATTTAAAATAGGGGAAATTACTGACTAATGAAGGACTTCAGGACATAACATTCAGAACACAGAAAGAATACTGCGTTGGAAAGCAAAGATTTTGTTTTTTAAGTGCAACAGTGAAGAATTTGGCTTCATAATTCACAAGTTGGTTATACTTTTAATTAGCCTGGCATCTCCTCTTTTCTGATGTCCCTTTCCTCTCTTGCAACATAAAGAATCAAATAATCTCTTCAGATTCTGTTCTTAGTCTCATGCTTAAATAAATACAGACAGTGGATAATGCAACTGTGAAAACTAGCCAATAGGATGCAGGGGATGAATTCTAAAAGGTTCTTTCTTGGAGTATGGGGAGTGAAGCATGTCTACTAAAGATCTAAGAAAAATGAATCCTATTATGTGCACATGGTAGGTTTTCTAAGAGCACTGGCTGCAGTACCAAGATGAGTAACAGATGAGAGGAGTTGGACTTGGCTCTCTACCATTGACCACTTGAGCTGTGGTTCATAAGACATTTCCCCAAGCACTCTGCAAGGTAAGCTAAAGTATGAGATTTAGTTATCAATTAACTCACATGCTTAGTCTTTAATGATACAACGTGTGAATAAAAACAATTACAGTTATGACAGGATATAACTAAAGGGGCACTGAGGAAGCACTGGTAATTTACAAGTTGAGTGCTCACTTTGGATGGCCCAGAGAAAGAAAGAGGCAGACTTGAGCTAAGTTGATTTAGGTGTCATCATGTTGATTAGGAGAAAGTATATTTCTAATGACATCATTGCAAGCAAAGAAGTCAAGATTTATAACTGGGGGCTCACTGTCAAACTGAAAATGCTTACAAGCATGACTCTGAACCAGGTTGGAAAAGGGATAATACACAGAGCAAAACTAAAAGCTGTCGGCAAAAGTCAGATTTCAGGTCAAGGAAAGAAGAGGGGTTTTTTTTTTTTTTTTTGCTGTTGTGGTTGTTTTGTTTTGTTTTTTAATCAAACCCAAGCATTTCAATCTGGACAGGAACCTCCTGGCACTGTTTAGCCTGTGACAGGGATTTGATGACCATTTGTGGTAAAGGCATGAATTTTTTTATGAATTAGAAGAGATTTTGCTGATCTGAATCAGAATGAGAAATGTAAGGGCAATATGAAGTTTGGTCCAAATGACATTATTCAACACTTCTTAGTTTGTTATTGAAAACTCTTCATTGTTATGAATTGATGGGTGTCGAGGATATATTTAAAATTCAGCATTGTGGAGGCACTGGGAGATAACCATGCACATTCATGTTTAGTGTTGCTGAAAATTATCATAATAATTAGAAGTAATAAAAGAAAGTAAAAAATGTAAGGGGGAAACTACAAGGTTTGTGGGGGTATTTTAACTATATTGAATGGAATATGAAGGAGAAGAGTGGTCTGGAAATCTGAGGATTATGGAGATTGAGAGTGTGAGTGTAAGGATACTAGTTCTCAATAGGAAATAACCCGGTGGCACCACAAGGCACAGCCTGTGAATAGCTTGTGGAATCATGGGGGAAACTTTGATTTTGACAAAGGAAAAGACAAGGTACTGGGCTTCCAATATTCGTCCTTATGAGAAGCCTCCCATGGAGATTGAAAATTGAGGTCAAGACTCCAGACAACTCATGTGTGAACTAACTTAGAGACCAGATAGAGAGCGAAGAAGCACCAGGCATGTGCTTTAAATTTATATTGAGAAATGAAGGAATATAAAAATAAAAAAGTCTAGAGAAGAACAGGTGTCAGTTGGATTGCAAAAGTTAAGTATGCACTTAAGGTTTGAATGAGGCAGAAAGGCAGAAGGCAAAACTGGAGCAGGGAACAGACATGGATTTAAAGTGAGGAAAAGGTTGAGTACAGAACTAGAAAGAAGAACAAATGCAGTTATCATATTCAATGTACATTATGTAAAAACTGACCTATGTAACTTGAGGGTAGGGTGAGAAGAGGAAGCTAGCGGAGAATAATGGAAGGGTGACATTGATCAAGATACTTTGCACTCATAGCTTGGCTTACAGAATTGTAACCTCTTTGTACAACTACATAATAATAAAATTTTTTAAAAAGTGGTTCTGCTGAGTGCAAAGTTTTGCCCCCAACTGAGAAAACTGCCCACTTGAGGCAGGGGTTTGTAAATTCAATACCATCCTGAGCTACATAGTAAGTAAGATTTTGTCTCAAACAAAATTGTTTTGTCCAGCATTTCTCTAGCTTCTTGGGAAACTATCTCATGTAAAACTTAAGATTGATGAAAGCTTTGGTGTACAGAGTATATGTATTGCCTGGCCTTAGAAGAAAGCATATACCTGGAAAAGGCAGAGTAAATGAAGTTAGTTTAGTTGAGATTAAAGAATTTTCATTTTCCATATGACAAATTCTGATGTATCATTTCAAATAAAATTTATGTCTTCTCTGAAGTTTTCCTGAACTCCATATGTAGCCTGTGGCTCACTTACTGATATTCCAATCCTATGGACTATGAAAACTAGCATTTATTTTACTGAATTTAAATATTTGTTAAAAATGTATTTATTGTTACTATCATAGATATAGTTCTAATGGCCCTAGGTAGTTAAAATATACAGGCAAATAACCAGGACTCATGGGTCACATCAATAATAGCAGCTACTCAGGAGGCAAAGATTAAGAGAATTGCAATTTGAGGATACCTAGGGAAAAAAGTTCAGAAGATCCAATCTCAACACATAAGCCAGAAATGCTAGTTCATGCTAGTAATCACAGATAGGAGACATAGGTTGGAGGATGGCCACCCCAGGCAAAAAGCCAAGAAACACTATCTGGAAAATAACAAAACCAACAACAAAAACTAAGCAAAAAAGGTGGAAGCAGTGACTCAATTGATAAAATGCTTGCCTAGAAAGCCCAGGGATAGGAAGGGGAAACAAAGGAGGAAGCAACAATGCTTGATAAGAAATGTACTCATTACCTTGCTCATGTAATTGTAACCCCTCTGTATGGTATTTTCACAATAAAAAAAAGAGAAAGCCCAAACCCTGAGCTAAAAAGCAGTTACACACAGTAAGAAAAAAAAGAAAGAGAGAGAGAAGAGAAAGAAAGGGAGGGAGGAAGGAAGGAAGGTAGGAAGGCAGGCAGGCAGGCAGGAAGGCAGGAAAGAAGGAAGGGAGGAAGGAAGGAAGGAAGGAAGGAAGGAAGGAAGGAAGGAAGGAAGGAAGGAAGGAAGGAGGAAAAGGAAAGAAGGAGAAGGGAGGAAGGAAAGAGAGAGAAACAGAAAAACAGAAATAGAGAGGAAAACAGAAAGGAAGGAAGGAAAGAAGGGAAAGGGAAGAGAGAGAAAGAAAAAAAAGGGAACAGAAGAAAGGAAACAAAGTAGAAAACATTCCCTGTCCTCATGGATGTTTATAAAACGGTTATAGTTCAAATTGCAAATATTTCAAGTATTTTTGACATTGAAAAGTATTCATTTCATTCTTTTTTATTTTTATTTTTTGTTTCAGTACTGGGGATTGAACTGATGGCCTGAGAGCTGTCCCTTAGCTTTTATGCTCAAAGCTGGTGCTTTTCCACTTGAGCCATAGCTCCACTTCTGACTTTTTGCTGGTTAATTGGAGTTAAGAGTCTCTTAGATTTGTCTACTCAGGCTGGCTTTGAACTTGAATCCTTAGATCTCAGCCTCCTGAATAAGTACTAAAACTCACATAAATTCCATTAAGCAAAGTAATTGGATTATGGGATGGACTGTAAATCCTCATATGGGCTATGATATCCAAGAAAAGCCTTTCTGGTTGAATGAGAAGGGTAGGTGTTTGAAGGAGGCCACCTGTAAGGTAAAATAAATAGGTAGGTTTAATTAGGTAGCTAATGAAGAGAATACCAGACAGTATTCAGGCAGAAAGAGAAGTTTTATTACTCAAACTTCTATCCCAGAGGGGAGAGCACATGGCTGAAAGGTCCAGAGGGCTGCTTTGCCAGGTCTGAACTAGGGAAGGGAGGACTGGGGGGCGGGGGGAGTGTGAAGGAGTGGCCAGATAAGGAAGATGGGGCACCACCAGATGCAGATGTGACTTCAGGGCCTGGGACCCTCCCTCTGTCAGATGGGGAGCAAGACGGGGCTGCCCAGGATGTAACCTCAGAGGAGAGAGAGGTGACTGCTCCCATGTGTGCCAGTTACCTAGGTGTCACAGGTACTGAGGAGACTTAGCCAAGAGGAGGGAGGAGTCTGCCCTGCCTTCCCAGGGCGGACTTTACGCCACTGGCCACTGTCTGGAGGAATCTGGAGGGCTGGAATGGAAGTGTTTGACCCTCAAAGCATTTACTGGAAAGACTTTACTCAGGAGAGGCCAGGGGGACTTTAGTACTTTCAGAATATTTTTTTTTTTTGTCAGTCGTGGGGCTTGGACTCTGGGCTTGGGCACTGTGCCTGTGCTCTTCAGCTTAAGGTGAGCACTCTACCACTTGAGCCACAGAGCCACTTCAGGTTTTCTAGTGGTTTATTGGAGAGAAGAGTCTCATGGACTTTTCCTGCCTAGGCTGGCTTTGAACTGCGATCCTCAGATCTTGGCCTCCTGAGTAGCTAGGATTACAGGTGTGAGCACCGGTGCCAGGCCAGAATATTCTTGTTAGGATTTCTATGACTCCTGTTTCTTCCTGATGTTCCCATACTTTACCTTACAGGGACATGAATGGTGAGCCATGGACACTGGAAACTGGAGCCAGGTGACAGAATTCATCATTTTGGGCTTCCCCCACCTGCAAGGTGTGCAGACTTTCCTCTTCTTCTTACTACTTGTGGTGTACCTCACTACTGTATTTGGAAACCTGCTGATTTTCCTGGTGGTTCGCTTGGACTCCCGACTCCACACACCCATGTATCAGTTTGTCAGCATTCTCTCCTTCTTGGAGCTGGGCTACACAGCTGCCACCATCCCCAAGATGCTGGCAAACTTGCTCAGTGAGAAGAAAACCATTTCATTCTCCGGCTGCCTCCTGCAGATCTATTTCTTCCACTCTCTGGGAGCTACTGAGTGCTATCTCCTGACAGCTATGGCTTATGATAGGTATTTAGCCATCTGCAAGCCCCTCCACTATTCCACCCTCATGACCCCAACACTTTGTACCAAGATTGCTGTCGGATGTTGGTTGGGAGGCTTAGCTGGGCCCGTGGCTGAAATTTCCTTAGTGTCCCGCCTACCTTTCTGTGGCCCCAATCGTATTCAACATATCTTCTGTGATTTCCCTCCTGTGCTGAGCTTGGCTTGCACGGACACATCTACTAATGTCTTAGTAGATTTCATAATAAACTCCTGCAAGATTTTGGCCACTTTCCTACTAATCCTCAGCTCCTATGTGCAGATAATCTGCACAGTGCTCAGGATTCCCTCAGCGGCAGGCAAGAGGAAGGCCTTTTCCACATGTGCCTCTCATCTCACAGTGGTTCTCATTTTCTATGGGAGCATCCTCTTCATGTATGTGAGGCTGAAGAAGAGCTACTCCCTGGACTATGACCGGGCCCTTGCAGTGGTCTACTCAGTGATTACCCCCTTCCTCAACCCCTTCATCTACAGCCTTCGTAACAAGGAGATCAAGATGGCCATGAAGAGGCAGCTAAAGCGAACATGGATCCTGGGCTGAGTGAAAGGAGGGGGCATCTCCAACGTGGGGTGAGGACAGAGTGGTTATGACTATCATCGGGGGTCACAGATGGGCAGTCACACATTCCCTGCTTTTCTGTATGGAATACTGGAGCGAGGGAGAAAGCTGCTCAAACTTTGTGTTACAGCATTAGGTTTACTGTCTGCTGGGGCCACTTTTGGCTTGACATGGGAGACTGGAAAAAACACACCTTCTGTCACTGTGATAGACTGCAGTGACCTCAGCGGTTTATATACAATACTAGGATTCTTGTCAACATTTTGTCTTACTTACACTGTATGTATGTGTGTCTATATGTGTATGTGTGTGAAAATTATTTGCTTTAATATAAATCATTTGGCTATGTGCTACACAATATTTGTCAAATAAAATCAGAGCAAAAATAAATGATTTTTTTCATGTGGAAAACTGTAGCATATTAAAGAATGTGTTTTTTTAATTATATGGATTTAATTAGTCAGCTTTCAAGTACTTGATATTCAAAATATAAGTCAGTCTCTTTCAGTTTTAACTTCATCATCCCACAGCAATATTTTTTAAGATTCTTTTGACAATATGGACAGACTTGTAAACCATAGTACACAGTGTCAGACATATAGATTTTGTTTCAAAAGTTATATTTATTTTTATTTATCTCATTTCATTCAGTTCCCTTATCATGATTCAAAGTCTTAGAACAACATCTGGTAACATATGAATGAACAAAATAACTTCCTAGGTCTTCTTTCTGGAAGAACAGAAGGAAACGGGTCAGAGGCACTTGTGGAAGGATGTGTTTGTCCTAGGTCTGTCCTGGTGAGATGCCTGAATTATTATCCCCAGTGGTCCTGATGTCCTATGCTCATATAAAGTACCAACATATAGTAGATGAGACACTGGCAGGAAACAAGATTGTTTTTGAGATTGAACTGCTTCTTCAATTTTGTCAATTTATTTTCTGTATCATATAAAAATATGTGAAAAATAAGCCTTTAAGAAGTCTTAAAAGTAAGTAAATAAGAAACTGGAGGATTTAATTATTAACCCTTATCTAGGACTGTTATGTATCTGAATATTTTTTGTGAGTAGAACACCCAAGCCTTGACTTATAAGAAGACTTTCATTTCTATAGAATTTTAGAAGATCCCCAAGCAATTTTATTTTGACCAACTAAAATATAATCAATGATCCATCTTTCTTTACTTTCAACTCAACACATAATTATGTAGAATTAATATTGTTTAAATGCTATCTATATGCAAATATGAACAATGTCTTTTACAAGCATAAAAAATCTTATTATTCATATGGAATTATAAAAAACACTGAAGATGGGCTGGGAAGGTGGCTCAGTGGTAGAGCGCTTGCCTTGCATGCATGAGGCCCTGGGTTCGATTCCTCAGCACCACATAAGCAAAAAGAAAAAAGCCGGAAGTGGCACTGTAGCTCAAGTGGTAGAGTGCTAGCCTTGAGCTTAAGAGCTGAGGGACAGTGCCCAGGCCCAGAGTTCAGGCCCCACGACCGAACCCCCCCCCAAAAGAAAAACCAAACACTGAAGAGCTTTTTTTTTGTCAGTTGTTGGGCTGAACTCAGGACCTGGGCACTGTTCCTGAGGCTCTTTGTGCTGAAGGCTAGCACTTAACCACTTGAGTAACAACACTACTTCTGGTTTTTGAGTGGTTAATTGGAGATAAGAGTTTCATGGGGATTTTTTCTGCCTGGGCTGACTTCAAACTGTGATCCTCAGATATCAGCCTCCTGAGTAGCTAGGATTACAAGTGTGAGCCACCAGTACCCAGCAAATTTTCTTTTTTAAATCCAGAGCAAAAAGAACAAAACTAGAGGCATTACAATACCTGATTTCAAAACGCATTACATTCTCAGTGGTAAATTAGTATAGTCATTGTAGAAATAGTATGGAGATTTGAAAATTTACAAAAAAATAGAACTACCACAAAATGTAGCAATCCCATTAGTGGGAGTATATTACAAAAAAACGGAAGAATTAAGTGAAAGAAATAGTTGTAGCCTCACATTTATGGCAGAACTATTCACAACAGACAAAATATAAAATTACCTTAGGTATCTATCCATGCATGAAAGGGTAAAAAGAATATGAAATATACAGGGGATCTTATTCAGTATTCTTCAGTACTTGGCCTAATTATTGAAACTGAACATTTCATGCCTCTCATTTGAAAAAACAAAAAATCTTTTTCAAAAGTTTGTTGTAATAACAAGTAAGAAAACACAAAGTCCTTAGCATAGCCTCCAATGTTATGAAAAATGTTGATCTTATGAATATTGAAAAGCCCTCATGCTAGAAATGTTCTTGTAATTGCCTAACCCATCTGTTCCTAAATTCTACCCACAGTTAGAATTTTCTTGCAAGATTTCCAGAAATACAACTGCCTAGGTTTCACAGTTAGATTTTCTGTATAAATTCTGAAGCTGACTCCATTTGGGGAATCACTGATCTAATCCAACCACATCATTATAGAATGGGAGAGTGAAGATTGTAAAATTAAATATACAGTACTAAAAATGGCACAATGTAACATCAAAAAAAGGTAGAGATTCTGGCCCTTGAATCTCCTGGTTCAGTAGTATTTCCACATCCCACAATAACCTAGGACTGGAAAAACCACAGAGGAAAGAGCCTGTCACTGGGCTGGGAAGGTGGCTCAGTGGTAGAGCGCTTCTTGCATGCATGAGGCCCTGGGTTCGATTCCTCAGCACCACATAAGCAAAAAGAAAAAAGCTGGAAGTGGCGCTGTGGCTCAAGTGGTAGAACGCTAGCCTTGAGCTGAAGAGCTGAGGAACAGCGCCCAGGTCCAGAGTTCAGGCCCCACGACTGGACCAAAAAAAAAAAAAAAAAGAAAGAGCCTGTCACTCCAGGATTCATTAGAAACTGCTAAGGTTCACAGTGGAAGCTTAACAACTGGGAAAACAATTATTTTAAGAAAAGAAATATGTTAGAAGCAGCTGCATAGATGCGGTGCACATGCACCCCGCCCCCGTGACCATGAGTGACCGGGGCTCCGGGGGACGCCCCTGAGAAGCCATAACCCCCTCTGGGGACCTCAGGACCCAGAGGGAAGCACAGAGGCTAGGAGCCAAGGGGGCCCAGGCCAGGAGGGAGGCGGGGCTGAGCCAGGTAGGGGGATGTTGCCCAAAGGAGACGGGGTGGGGGGCCAGAGAAGGGACCAGGAGGAAGCTAGGATCAAGCAGCCTGGGGATCACTTGCCCAGCACCCCTCCGAGCAGGGATCCAGGAATGTGCCAAGAGTCCTGCCCGGCTTCTGCCGACTGGGTGTGGACACAGGGTCCCTGTGCAATAGGGAGGAATGTCTTCTATTTTCCCCACCTGTTTTGGGGAGGGGGAGAAGGTATTTTCAAGACAAAACACAGGCACAAATAAAAACGATAACATTGCCACTCCATGCCTTCAGCCAGCACAGGTGGGGGGGTGGGTGGTGCTGTTTCTGATTTTGGAAAAAAAAGAAAAAGAAGAAGTGTGTTCAACTTATTTTCTTTGACTTCTGGTAGATTAAGTAAAATTATGTATTTATTGGAGACTGAGAATGTGGTAGGTGATCTGAGGTTACATCCTGGTTCTGCTAGATGCCCTTAGGCAAATCGCCCATCTTCTTTGACCTTCAGTTTCAAATTCCACTTGATTTCTACACTTAATGTAATAGTGCTATCTGATAGATTAACTTCAGGATGTTTTAAATTCCATGATGAGTCACATAAATTAAAATATCTTAAATAGTAATGTGTGATGCAGAGGAAACCAGACTCTTTGTGTAATTAAATCTGTAAAACACCTTTGGGTCTAAAATCCTGTAACACACTATGTATATAGGTTCATTGCCAATTAACCATGATTGCTGAACTGAGTTTGTGTATGAACTAAGTCCAAAGCAGAGAAAACTTCTCCTTTGCATCAGAAAGCTCTTTATTTACATGGAATGTTGAATGACAGGGGAAATTCATTGCTGTACAGGCAACAGAGGCAAAGTGGACAGTAGTGAGCTTCAGAACTGTTATCTGTTGTCTCTTCTGTTCTGCTTCGATCCTGCTCTGTGGTCTCACAAAGACCACAGGGCAGAAGGACAGAAGCCCAGCTGGTAGAATGACTATCTCTGCTCTCACCAGCTTATTGGGGATAAAAATAGACTTCCCAGTTTTCATCAATATCCTGTAGCCAAAGTTGTAAAGTTCGTTTTCGACATAACGACTTGTACATCTCATTGTTGCAATGGGTCCACCAGTATCCCTATTTAAATGATTCTTTTTCTTTCCCTTCCCCAAATTATACCAGCATCAAATACAGTGAAAGCAGGGGTTATATCATGGGGGAGGGACATACAAAGCAACAAAGAAATCATCTTATAAATATGTTAGATTAGAAACAATCGCATGAAAGAAAAAACATTTGAATACTTATCTTGGGGTTCATTTCACCTAACATCAACTTATCTGAACTTTGAGGGGGGAGATGGAGGGGTGGGGGAGATAGGAAGGGATAGGAAGGGGAAACAAAGGAGAAGGCAACAATGTTTGATAAGAAATGTACTCATTATCTTGCCCATGTAAATGTAACTCCTCCATACAGTATTCTCATAATAAAAAAAAAATACTGTAGCCAGCAGCTGATCATTCATATTAATAACAGTAGAACAAGCCAGGCACCAGTGGCTCATGCTTATAATTCCAGCTACTCAGGAGGCTGAGATCTGAGGATCACAGTTTCAAAGCTAGCCTGGGCTGACAAATCCCAAGGGACTCTTTGTCTCCAATTAACCAGCAAAAAGCTGAAAATAGGGTGTGGCTCAAGTGATAGCACCAGCTTTGAGCAAAAAAGCCAAGTGAGAGCACAAAGCCTTGCATTCAAGCACCAGTACCAGCCCCAAGTTGTGATGGCAGTCTAAACAGAACATAATCATGGACAAGTAAACAAGTTGTGATGGCAGTCTAAACAGAACATAATCATGG